AGTTAGCAAGTCCCATAGCATGCACGTATGGTTAAAGTTGTGTAACAAATTTGAAACATGAAGTGTACCTGGCTTGTGCATCCTTATGAGTGGCGGTCGAGGACGAGCGATGGTATTTTCCTACCAATCTATCCCCCTAGGAGCATGCGCGTAGTACTTGATTTTTGATGACTTCTAAATTTTTGCAATAAGTATATGAGTTCTTTTGACTAATGTTGAGTCCATGGATTATACGCACTTTTACCTTTCCGCCTTTGCTAGCCTCTTCGGTACTGTGCATTGCCCTTTCTAACCTTGAGAGTTGGTGCAAACTTCGCCGGTACATCCAAACCCCGTGATACGACGCTCTATCACACATAAACCTCCCTATATCTTCCTCAAAACAGCCACCATACCTACCTATTATGGCATTTCCATAGCCATTCCGAGATATATTGCCATGCAACTTTCCACCGTTCCGTTCATCATCATGACATATTTTACTTTTGTCATATTGCCATTGCATGATCATGTAGTTGACATCGTATTTGTGGCAAAGCCACCATGCATTATTTTTCATACATGTCACTCTTGATTCATTACACCATCCCGATACACCGTCGGAGGCATTCATATAGAGTCATATCTTGTTCTAAGTTTCGAGTTGTAATTGTTGAGTTGTAAGAAAATAAAAGTGTGATGATCATCATTTTTAGAGCATTTTCCCAAGTGAGGAAAGGATGATGGAGATCATGATTCCCCCACAAGTCGGGATGAGACTCCGGACGAAAAATAAAAAATAAAAAAAAGTAAAAAAAAGAAGAGAAAAAAAGAGGCCATAAAAAATAGAAAAGGCCCAAATAAAAAAATGAGAGAAAAAGAGAGAAGGGACAATGCTACTATCCTCTTACCACACTTGTGCTTCAAAGTAGCACCTTGTTCTTCATGTAGTGAGTCTCATATATTGTGCTTCAAAATAGCACCATGTTTTTCATATAGTGAGTCTCATAAGTTGTCTTTTTCATACTAGTGGGAATTTTTCATTATAGAACTTGGCTTGTATATTCCTACGATGGGCTTCCTCAAATGCCCTAGGTCTTCATGAGCAAGCAAGTTGGATGCACACCCACTAGTTTTCTTTTATTGAGCATTCATTTATAGCTCTAGTGCATCTGTTGCATGGCAATCCCTACTCCTCATATTGACATCAATTGATGGGCATCTCCATAGCCCGTTGATTATCCTCGTCAATGTGAGACTTTCTCCTTTTTTGTCTTCTCCACACAATCTCCATCATCATATTCTATTCCACCCATAGTGCTATATCCATGGCTCACGCTCATGTATTGCGTGAAGGTTGAAAAAGTAGATTATTTAAGTATGTGACAATTGCTTGGCTTGTCATCGGGGGTATAGAAGTTGGGAACATCTTTGTGTAACGAAAATGAAGCATAGCTTAACTATATGATTTTGTAGGGATGAACTTTCTTTTGCCATGCTATTTTGAGAAGACATGATTACTTTGATTAGTATGCTTGAAGTATTACTATTTCTTTTGTCAATATGAACTTTTATTTTGTATTCATTTGGATCTGAACATTTATGCCACAATAAAGAAAATTACATTATGAATTATGCTAGGTAGCATTGCACATCAAAAATTCTCTTTTATCATTTACCTACTCAAGGACGAGCAGCAATTAAGCTTGGGGATGCTTGATACGTCTCCAACGTATCTATAATTTTTTTCTTGTTCCATGCTATTATATTACCCCTTTTGGATGTTTATGGGATTTATTTTACACATTTATATCATTTTTGGGACTAACCTACTAACCGGAGGCCCAGCCCATATTACTGTTTTTTTGCCTATTTCAGTATTTCGAAGAAAAGGAATATCAAACGGAGTCCAAACGGAATGAAATCTTCGGGAGCGTGATTTTTGGAACAAACGTGATCCAGAGAACTTAGAGTGCAAGTCAAGAAGCAGTCGAGGCCTCCACGAGATAGGAGGGCGCCCCCCCCCATAGGGCGTGCCCCTTGTCTCGTGGGCCCCTCGGGCGGCCACCGACATACTTCTTCTTCCTATATATACCTACATACCCCGAAAACATCCAGGAGCACCACGAAACACAATTTCCACCGCCGTAACCTTTTGTATTCGCGAGATCTCATCTTGGAGTCCTTGTCGGCACTCTGCCGGAGGGGGAATCAACCACGGAGGGCTTCTACATCAACATCCTAGCCCCTTTGATGAGTTGTGAGTAGTTTACCACAGACCTACGGGTCCATAGTTATTAGCTAGATGGCTTCTTCTCTCTTTTTGGATCTCAATACAATGTTCTCCCCCTCTCTTGTGAAGATCTATTCGATATAAACTCTTTTTGTGGTGTGTTTGTCGAGATCCGATGAATTGTGGGTTTATGATCAATTTTATCTATGAATAATATTTGAATCTTCTTTGAATTCTTTTATGTATGATTAAGTTATCTTTGCAAGTCTCTTCGAATTATCAGTTTAGTTTAGCCTACTAGATTGGTCTTTCTTGCCATGGGAGAAGTACTTAGCTTTGGGTTCAATCTTGCGGTGTTCTTACCCAGTGACAGAAAGGGTTGCAAGGCACGTATTGTATTGTTGCCATCGAGGATAACAAGATGCGATTTATATCATATTGCATGAGTTTATCCCTCTACATCATGTCATCTTGCTTAATGAGTTACTCTGTTCTTATGAACTTAATACTCTAGATGCATGCTGGATAGCGGTCGATGTGTGGAGTAATAGTAGTAGATGCAGGCAGGAGTCGGTCTACTTGTTATGGACGTGATGCCTATATACATGATCATGCCTAGATAATCTCATAACTATGCACTTTTCTATCAATTGCTCAACAGTAATTTGTTCACCCACCGTAATACTTATGCTATCTTGAGAGAAGCCACTAGTGAAACCTATGGCCCCCGGGTCTATCTCTTATCATATTTGCTCCCAATCTACTTTTATTTGCATCTTTACTTTTTGCATCTATATTATAAAATACCAAAAATATATTTATCTTATCATACTATCTTTATTAGATCTCACTTTCGCAAGTGGCCGTGAAGGGATTGACAACCCCTTTATTGCGTTGGTTGCGAGTTCTCAGTTTGTTTGTGTAGGTGCATGGGACTTTTGAGGAGCCTCCTACTGGACTGATATCTTGGTTCTCAAAACTGAGGGAAATACTTACGCTACATTGCTGCATCACCCTCTCCTCTTCGAGGAAAACCAACGCAAGCTCAAGACGTAGCAGCCGCCGTTGAGGAGGAGCTCCTCGGTGGCGACGGCTACCCTGACATGTGGAACAAGAACTCCCTCCCCGATTTTGCCAAGTCAGCATGATCACGACCAAAACCAGCTTCAATCCTCTCCAAAACCACCAAGGGGCGTATTTATCCGGTTTGATAGAGTTCAGGGGGAATAATCTGGTTTTGGAGTTTAGGGGGATATTGATCCATCATGGAAGATTTGAGGGGGAAAACTATACTTTCTTCTTTGGCGCAGGCGGCTTGATAGCCATTAAACACATTCAGCTGCGCATCAGGGGTGTGCTCTCGTGCAGCCCACGTTGGATCAGCTAGAGACAAAAAAGATCGGCGGTTTGACCTTTGCTGCCCCAACGTGTTGTCCAAAAGAAAACGAGAGAGGAAGAGGAAACCGCCCCCACCCGTTCTCCCTCAACGCACGCTAGGGTTGCTGCTGCCACTGCCTCACCCCATCGGCCCATGGCCAGGTCCTCCGACGCCGGCCACCGGAGAAGGAAGCAAACTAGACATCTAGTCGTCCAGACCTTCTCTGGACCCAGGCAAGTCGCCTCCTTTCTTCCCCTTCCCTCACCCCCTGACCCCTCTCTGCCGCCTCATGTCCTACCCCTTTCTCTTCTCAATCTGAATCCATGTAGATAGCCGGCAGGGAAGACGAGTATGTGTTGGAGGGCGCTGTCGGCGGCGCCAAAAGTAGCTCAACAAGAACCACCGTCATGTGGAGGCAAGACACTATCGACACGGATCCGCTTCGTCTGCGCCGGCAAGGGCCAACCTTCCAGATCCGACCAGGTACGATGCATCCTACCTTTTCCAACTGCCGAATACTTCTCTAAATCATGGTGGGCACTGCCCATGGAGGTTCATATGAATCAATTTACTTTGAGCAGTGCAGTGTGACAATAGCAGCTCTCCCTTTTTTCCTTACATGTTTTATAATCTGCATATTTTGTTGTAATGGCTGTAGTAAGGAGCAAGGCAGTAACAGAGTTGAATCACTCAATATATGCTACCATAGGGCATGTATTAGACTGTTAGTTGATGCAGGAGAGTTGCAGCAATAACAGGTGTTCACTTAGATTCGAAACTCTGAATTTTACTGATTCATGTCTTAGCCCCCTATCCCTTAATAGATTTGTGGCTAGCCACCTGATCGGTGCCATGCCAAACGCACAAGGCTGGATAGATTACACCACAACTATGCAAAGTTGTCTTATATTCGACCTGGTATGACAATGCATGATGTATTTTGATCAGAAACTCATAGACCATGTAGCATATGCTTGGCTCTAGGTATGGATTATCCTTTATTTGAAACTCATGATGCTAGAAATCCACAAAAAATAATTAGTTTTTGGATGGAGAGCGATACTACAGGAAGACATCATTCTAATTAACTTAATTGTATATAAAGCTTTGAGAAATTTACAATGAACAGAAGGCCTTTACGACGCTGTAGAATCATTACAAGAATTCTACAATGGTATAAGACAGTTTAGCAGCTGAAGCAGAGATTCAAGTAGACCTTGATTCTGACGAATGCAATGTCACACACAGAACCTAAATTACTAATCATATGCCATGCCATTCCATGTTTCAACCAAATTGAACGTAATCATAGTACCATAATAGAGTTTTGGGCTCACAGAAGAAATAAAAGAAATCATGATGACACATGGTAGGAATCTGCACACCTTCCTTTGGACCTCCTCTTTCTTGTCATTGATGGATAGTGGCTTTTGCTCGCAGGGCCAGTTGCTGCCTGTTATAAACCAGAGCATTGATGTCCGCTTCCAGCTGCTGGGCCATGGGCTCCTCCATCTGCTCCGCAAGATCATGATCCGCGATTTCCTTCTGAAGCTGCGTGAGAGAAACAGAAATGCAACATTCACAATGCAGTGATTGTTCCTGGTTCTAGAAAATATTGCCAGGAATTTTTGCTAGGTATGAATCAAGAAATGCGGCATTTAGATATGTGAGCAACCATCTGTAAAGTACTATGTGTACCGAACTATTAATGAAACTAGATCATGCCCCGCGCGTTGCCGCGGGACTTTATGCTAAAATTAATTGTTTTGAGCATTATTACACTTAATCTCAAGAAAAATATCCTGGAATTTTGAGTCAATAAAGAGATACTGTGCACAAAAAGACCTTTTTTTAGAAAACGGTGTTGAGTCAAGAAAGTTGAGAAAGGAATGTTAAAAGTTGTATTGATGTGAAAGGATTAACCATTCAGATATTGTCACTGTCAGTGAGAAAAATGGTAGTATTGCACTATTGCAGAACTACTGTCATTGTATTACTGTGCCAGAAATCTTTGTCTAACAATTTGGAAGAGCCGAAAAACTTAGTAAAGCAGGCTCTCCCTAGAGGTAAATATTATCGGAACTTCTGGAGGTCACCCGATGTGGCTGATATGTGACATGTCCATATCTTCTAGCTCCAATTATCAGTTTCTCTGCAGCTACAAAAGCCATAAAAATTTCTGGGAAAAAGTACCACTTAGTCTAGTACTACAGAAGAGCCTGAAGTTCTGAACAGAACACAATTTTCTTTTCTTAGTCATCTTGCATCGTACATCCTTGTTTATACAAATTCATGCAATGAGGACTGAATGGAGCATACCAAAAGTATAAGAACAATCACTGAACCTGTTGACCCCAGCCACCAATGCCAAGTAGAATTATGCTCTGATCTTGTTTTCCTATGCAATCGGGTATAAAGGGAAGTATCAAACCCATGCAAGCACACGTCTTTGAAATACATACTATCTGCAACATTGGAAACACATTTGAACAAAAAAGAGCTTTTAAGATGATAGTAGTAAGATGGCTTTCTACATAATAACAACTTAAAGGTTTAGAAGAATTACACCAGTGGCAGGAATGCCACTTGTCTCGAAGTGTAGAAAAAACTTGTAGAGAAAGGTCACCTTGTTTAACTGAATTTAAAATCGACAAATGTAGGAAAGCCAGCCATCACTAACCTGCAAAAGTCTCAAGAACAACCAAATTAACATTACTAAGATGTGTACTGATGGATAGCCGTATAGCACAAATGAAAAGCCTGACGAAAGAATTCAATCAGGAACTATGTATGTGTGTAGTGTCAAGATGAAGCGTAAGTAAACTGACCTAAACACCTAAACCACATTGTCGTGTGAAAAGCAAACTGACTGATGCACTTCTGTAAATTAAGGGGTATTTAACCGGGCTGTACCTACTACATAAAAGATACTACGAAATTACTATGCAGACGACAGCATCCCGTCCGAAGGGTGAACGATGTTGGATTGAACGGCGTTGTTTAGTTTAGCTCTCCTCGTGAACGGCCTGATGTGTTACATCGTTTGAAAATCGTCCAGCGTTGTCGTTTGTGTAGCAACGCCGAATATACTATACTGGAATCCTAATAGGAAGGTTTGTTTCAAATTCCCAAGGAACAAAATAATTCAAGAGAGGAACTGATTATGTATTGGTACATAGTAAGATGAGAATGTAATCATTCACAACCAGCAAGACAACCCAATGTCACGCTCCACCTGTACCCAATAAAAAAGAACACGAATGCAAAAAACATTAGTGCATGTTGGAAAGGCAATTAGCTTTGCCTTGGCTCATTGAACCTGAAAAGCAACAACACCGGCAAACACACACACACACACAAATAGGAGATAATCTGTAAAGAAAACACACATGTAGGATTGGAGCGAATCAGCCTGGGCTAGGCATGGATGGAGGGAGGCGGGGACGAAGGACAAACAGGGGGCTGGAAACCCTAGATCAGCACCGGATTGGATTGAATCGGCCTAGGCTAGGCCTGGACGGAGGGAGGCGGGCATGAAGGCGACTTACATGTTCAGAATCTCCAGATGCATCATGTAGTACTCGAAGTTGTGCTCGGGCTCTGGCCATCGAGAATGTTGATGAGCATGTGGACGCCCCTCTGCATAAAGTCCCACACACCCTCCAGATTGATTGTCTTCCAATCCTTCCTTTGCCCCGCAAGCCGCCATGGCCGCCGGTTCTCATCCCGATGGCAGACGCAAACCCTACAGGAGGCTGGGCTCAGTTGCATCCATCACCACATGGAGTTTGTGTCGTTTGAGGAGAGAGATGCGGGTGGGAGTCGGGGCAATTAGATTATGAGGAGAGATTCCCTCGTTGATGTTTCAGTAGGAGAAAACCACCGCTTCCGCTTCTGCGGGTCAAGGAATGAGAAGCGAACGGGTGGGGGCGTGGAGCGAACACGGGGCCAACTCATCGTCGCAAATCATGGCCACATATGATCGATCAAACGGCCGAAAAGAATTAAGATGATGTGGACGCACCACAGGGCAGAGAAATCAGGCAGTGGGGATCAACTATTTAGGTATTATAGATTATCATCTTCTAACCTCCCTATTTTGCAGATTTTGTATGCTCCCCACCCGGGTTGAACGGCTGCATCCCCCTGTTGTTATGGTAGTGGAATCCCTCCAATTATATCAAGAAATATAGTTATTCGTTTATCTGATAGGGATCCTAATTGTAGCACCCTAGCCTGGACTTCTCAAGGATGAACATACTGATGGATGGAAACCAACCTAATGATTGATGGTGTTATCATCAAGAGGCAGTGGACTAGCGGTGGCGTGATTCAAAAGTAAGTTCAGATAGCCTCTGATACTGGGTTCTTCTTTTGAATCTAAAATATCAGTCTGCGCTGTATCCAATCTATTGGATTAGAAATAGTTAAAAAACTATCACATGATTTTGATTGCACACTGTCCAATGGACGTAACAATATTAGGTACTTAGGTTGGTCAATATAACTCATTCTGGCATTTTATTGACTATAACCATTAATTATGATTCATTTCGATCCTGTTTATATGAAACTTCTTTTCTTTTACATAGCTATTGTTGATTCTGCATTTGAGGATTTCATGAAGCCAAGCGATCCTCTTGTGCTCCGAGGAGCTCTGCTATGTATACAGGCATCTGGTATGATCGCATGCCTTAATTCATACATAGGAGTTAGTATTGTAACTATTAAGTAGCTCAATAATTTGTTGGCAATAAAATAAGTTGGTATATACAATGGAGAAGTACTGAATCTCTTAAAGCATAAAGCCATAAAAATCAGCATGCACTAAGGCCCACACACAAAGTAAAAATGTTCTAATTTCAAAAGATTAATTAGTTTTGGTAGGGGTGCGTAGGTATAAACAATGAACCATCTTTTCCAAAAAAAAAACCTGGACCATTCTGCATCCAGTATATTGACATATTAGTTGCTCTCTTGTTTCTGAACATTTTTGAACCAGCTGAGAAGTACTCAAATTCTTAAAGCATAAAGTCGTGAACATCCTAGGCACAGAATAATCATGCAGTGAAGATACTTTATTACAAACCATGTATGATATGACACCAACACCAAATCCTTGAAGCAGCCATCCCATGTAGAGAAGTGATGAGTCATGTGGATTAAACATCGATTAGCAAGCATGAAGCTCATATCGTCACGAGAAGAGAAATGGTAGAATATAAGCTTGGGAAACATGTGGGTGCATCATCCATACATTCGTGAAGGAGATGGCGAGCCAACCGATGATGTTCTGAATCGCCACCATCGTTAACGACTGAAAATTCAGTAGGCATGTCCATAGTATAAAAGATTAAAACTTTAGTGTAGTCAAGAATTAATTTGTTGCAACTTGCAAGCATATGACATGAACAAAATAATGAACTTTTTCAGAAAAAGTCTTCACCTACACATTGTCTGCAACACCAATTTCTCTTCTCTGATTATCATATCAAATGCCACATGCAACTAATTAAATAACTCATGAGATTCGAGACTAATACAAGCTCAACTCTTAATTTTCATTCGGAGGGAGGGAGGGGTCATGATTTTCTCACCCCTTTCTGGCCAATGTGCTCGGCCATCTGGCCGCTGGCGATGGCCCTGACCATGGCGCTCACGTGGACAGCGAGCCGAATGTCAAGAACTGCATCATGTGAAGGCACGGAGTTACTCAACATCTTTAGTCCAAGAAGAAGTCGAAACAGAGCAAGCATAGAGGCTCCAGGCACAACCTTCTCATAGTTTTCAATTTTTTACTTATCTTTTCAATTTTTTTATAAATTACTTGCAGTTCCATCTGCTTCTCATGATTTCCGCAATCTTCAAATTCAACTTGTGTTAGAGGCTTCAGTTCTTACAACATATGATACTCGCTTGATCATCATGTACATTGTATAATCATAAAGTGATGCACTGAATGCACTATGCTGTTGTCCATTGTTATTGTGTTTATTCCTATCAGTTAAGATAAATAGATAACTCTCAAAGTTTTAACTATGGGTGTTGGAGGAGATAGATTGGGCAGAACTACAACCTGAGGTTGTGCAGGTTTACGAATACGTCTTGCCAAGGTTATATTATTTTAGGTTTTGACGAATAACAAAAATATATAGTAGGTAAATAAAGCTCAATTCGCCACTCAAATAATTATGAATACCAATGCAGTAAAGGTATGATGTACGCTTTCAAATAACATTTTATAATTCTTTGGTAACATCACTGAAAACTATTGATGTGTTCTCTAATTTATTATAGTTAGCTTTGTTTCAGATTGGGTGTTAATAGAAAACATATCCTTGCATTGATGGATTCACATTTGAAGGGAAACTGCTGAAAATGAAAGGCGACATATTCAATAGTTTTTTCTCTCATTATTCACAATCTGAAGTTAGGGAGTGTATAAAAGAAATTATGGCATGATTTGTTCAATTTCATACCATCTACTCTGCCCTAGGTTCGGAAGACAAAATCTAGAGCCTTACTTTGAATGTCCAAGGAGATGGAAGCACCAACAATGCCCTCAACAGAGTTGCTCGATCAATTGGATCTGAATCCAAGGATGACATCCAACAAAAGGTACCCAACTTCCTTTATTGCTTTAACCATACTAGAGTAGCTGTATATGGTGCACTTGGCAGGGATATTATCAAGGAATTCCAAGATGATGGCTGCATTTTGCACGGAAATTGGGAGGTGTGGCTCAAAAAGATACAGCGGTTACCGGCAGCGGCGGCGGCAAAGACTAGCCCGGGATCTGGGATAGTGGATGCATTGAGCACGAGGTGAAGATCAGCCACTCCATCCACGGTCATTATTGTGTTCCTTCTTTTTCTGGAGATGATTTCAGTACTCTTTATCAATGTAATGTTAGAGCCAAGATGCATGTGTCACTTGTTTCATCAAGTGTGTAATGAATTTTAAATTTTGTTCATGATGATCTCAAATCCCTGGTTTCTCCTGGCTACATGCTGCTTAATATGCCTATTATGCAATAACACTGCATACTATAATAAGTACTCCCTCCGTCCGGAAATACTTGTCATTAAAATGGATGTATCTAGATGTATTTTAGTTGTTGATACATCCATTTTCATCCATTTTGATGACAAGTAATTCCAGACGGAGGGAGTAAAATGGAAGGGGTGCCTCCCACCTGGCACCGCCCAACTTCCTCTCAGGCGGCGTCACCGGGTGGCGCCCCAACCACTAGTTAGATTGGGACGTGTGTAACCATTGATCAATTTGCCTTGTACGACTCCCACGTCTGCTTCTTTACCAACTTTGCACGCACATCATGCAGACAAGAAACACCGCAGCCTCGCGGAATGCTTGAAAGCATCGATGTTGAGCATCGTCGTAGCACCTTCGCCCACGGTCGTAGCATCTGGTCGGCCGTTGTGGCAACATCGCCCAGCCCGGCAGTTCTAGCTTAGGGGTGTTTGTTTCTAGGGACTTATTGGTTTAGGGACTTTAAAAAGTCCCTATAAGTCCCATCTAAACCAAACAGGAGGGACTTATAGGGACTTAAAGTGGTGATTTGGGACTTATCAAAAAAGACTCTTAGGGAGGAACTTATAGGGACTTTTCCATCGATTCCCCCTGCCCCGCATCTATCCTTATCGCTTCCCCGCATCGCTCCTTCCCCGCATCCCAGCTTCGCTCCTTCCCCGCACTCTGCTCCAATCGCCACCGCAGCAGGCAGTACCCTGAATCGCCGCCACCATGGCCGACGATGAGGAGGACCGGATCCCCTTCTTCTCTCAGTTCCACTCGCATCATCAGGCATCCCAGGGCTCATCCGCCTGCGGAAATCTCGGGAGGGGAATGGGATTCTTTGATCTCAACCACAACGTCGACGACTTCCCGGAGTTGGGCTCGTACCAGCAACTCCTCCTCGACCATCCACCGGTCATGGTCTTCCTCCTACTGGACCTGGTCGTGGGAGGCCCGTGTCCCAGGGCGGAGGAGGCCGCACACGGTCTCTGAACATCGGAGGCCGAACCGGCTCTCACCTACGTCCGTTTGTCGCCCCGGGCACAGCTACCGTTGAGGGAGGCGTCATAGGGCGTGGGAGGACCATGTCGCAGGTCACCGGATGTGGTGTAGGTCGAGCCCATGGGTCCTCATCGGCCGACGGTAGAGGAAAAGCTACGGGGAAGCAACATGTGTCGTCAACTGCTGCGTCTTCAGAAGATGTCGATGAGAATGATGGCTTTGAGGATGAAGATGAGGATTTTGCTTTTGGAGAGGTAAATTTATGATTGGTATACATAGTTAGCTTTCTGTCACAGGGTGCAAATTCATCTTCTTTTTATGCTAGCTAATTGTGTGTACAATAGTATACCTTGGTGTAGAATTTGAACCAGCTTGATTCTACTTTTGTTTGAATTGTGTACTTGTTATTTTTTGTTTAGAAAAGCATTGCCAAGGCTGATTGGACACACGAGCATATTACTGTATTTTGTAACATCGCCTATGAGGAAGCTAGGGATGGGCACTGTGTGAATGGTGTTTGGACAAGTAGAGCCTACAATAACATGAAGAAAAAAATTATCAGCGTGCTGGCCTCCTCCATACTACCAAGCAATTCAAAAATTGCATAACTAGACTCAAGAGCCACTATACTGCTTGGGTGTGGTTGGGGCAGCAAATTGGTTGTGGCCGAAC